AAAAAAAGGGGATAAAACGGCTAGTTTTTTGAAATTCGGGTTCGGGCAGTCGGGCAAACTCGGGCAGCTCGGGTTTTCGGGCAAAATTAAAAAAACTAGCCGTTTTCGGGCAAATCGGGCAATTCGGGCAGTTCGGGCAGTTCGGGCAACTCGGGCAACTCGGGTTTTCGGGCCGAATTCGGGTAAAAATTCAAAAAACTAGCCGTTTTCGGGTATTCGGGTAATTCGGGCACCTCGGGCGGGTCAGGCAAGTCGGGCAGGCGGGAAAAATTCAGGCAAAATTCAAAAATTCGGGCTTCGGGTTGGGCAATTCGGGCACACCCAATTTTCGGGTCGGACAGTTCGGGCTTGGTCGGAAAAATGCAAAAAAATCCCGGCAGACGGCGGTATACGGTGGTTAGACGGCGGCGGGCAAGGGTGGACATGTCAAATCCGGGCTGCCCGAGCCCGAACCCGAATTTCTTGCTTGGACGGGCGGGAATTGGGCCGGCCCGCCCGAGCCCAAAAAAATTCGGGCTTCGGGCTATAGTGACTAAGAAAATCTCATAATTTTAATAATGTAATTCATGTATTTGAGTCAAGGATTTTCCTGGAAAATCATTATACTATGTACATTTTGTGATTGAAGGATTTATGGAATTAACATCTGCATTCCTAAATTCTCCCGAGCCCGAACCCGAATTTCTTGCTTGGACGGGCGGGATTTGGGCCGGCCCGCCCGAGCCCGAAAAAATTCGGGCTTCGGGCGGCCCGCCGACCCGAAGTTCCAGCACTATTCATAATTTGACTTAAAATTTTAATTTTTTTTTAAAAAATACTATAACAGGACCGTTTGACTCGTACAACAACAATATACTTCAGATGTGTAAGTTAACAACCATTGCATCGAAGCTGATGAAAGAGGTTGGATTTTCTTTCTTTTTTAGAAAATTATTGAACTAAAAAAATTTTAAAAGTGTATGTGTATAAATTTTTATATTTTATTATTAATTAATATCTTTTTAATTAATATAATTATTTAAGAGTTGTTTAGTTAAGGGATTCGTATCTCGATTCGAATCATAGTTTATGATTCGTTACAGTATTTTATGTCATACAAAATATACATAAATTAAAAATAATTATAATCTCATAATTTTAATTCATGAATTAAATGTATTCTTAATTAAAAAGATATTAATTAAGAGTATTTACCTTTTTTTATATTATTTAAAATGGGCTGCGGAAGGAGGGTTAAATTGGGTCAGCTCTAAAAGACGGCCCATGGAGCCACGTCAGATATTTCAAGCAGAAGAATCTTCTCTCTCCTCCCTCCACCTCACATTTTCCACTCAAAATGACGAAAACACACCTAACTCCCCACGTCGCGATTCGATTGTGATCACATGTCCGTGCTACGCTAAACGACAAAAAAAGGAAAAAAAATCCCGTGGTCACCAGTTAACAACCGAGTCGACTCACTCCACTCTTTC